TCATTTTGAAGTGTTTATATTAATCCTAACTACTAAAGGTTCTAAGTATCTTCTCAAACAAAGTCCATTGTTAGTGTGAGTCAATTGTCTTTTTTTCAAACAAATATCAAAGTTTGTGGAAACAAACTGTGAACAAATAAAGACATGAACACTGATGAAAAAAAATTTGATAAACACTCACACCGATTTCATGTGTCGAATCTCATTAGGATTCTGTCCGTTCTCAGTATTTTAAGCTGACTCTTTATGCATTTACTCAAACTCCCATCTAAGTATATCATATGATGAAAGTACGTTGTTCTGATTAATTTAACTTTTGATATCAGGTTGATATAAATATTGTTCACTTATGAAGAAGAACTGCGAGAAATTCGAACTCAGCGTACCACATTTCATCCGTGCAGTCTTAATATTCTAAATATGTGGTGTGCATATTTACAGATTTCACATCAGTATAGGCTAAAACAGAACCTGAGTTAAGTCAATTGTTGATTTTGAACCTATTCGCTAAACATTAACGTGAATTTAACTGAAGAGCTATAAGAGATTGATTGCATGGATGTCAACTAAGCAAAGTCACATCACGTATTTCGACATTCGCAGAATGAGATTAGAATATTTTCACAAATAGCTAGGGAACCATGTATATTCTTTTGCCTAAAGTCTGCATTTTGTTTGGCAAGTTAAGTGGGTTGTTGCTTGTTGTGTTGTTTTTGAACAGAAACATCAGTGCAGATAGAAAAATGATTGATTGTCGAAGATTCGGAAAATATTACTGAATAGCTTACACATGGAAATTTGTCTGATGAGCTTCGCAATGTTGAAATTCGCGTTGATTACTATCTAACGACCGTTCTTTTACTAAGACACAATCTAAGTTGTTGACGAACACGACTGTCCTACTACCAACAAAGCTCACTGATCTTAGTGATAATACCTTTAAATATTTTTAAGGCAAAGATGACTATTGGAATTTCAGAGTTCTGCATGCGACTTTGCACGGAACCTCAATGAAACGGAAGAATTTATTTGAGAAAATTTGAACTGAATACGTCTGAACTGTTGTTTTTAAAGTCTGAAATAGCCACTGTCACGCACTGCCCTCTGTTAGTGACAGATAGTAAAAAAATATTTTATAACGAATCTTCGTACGTTATCAGACGGGCTATTAGGAATCATAATTCAGTCCCTCACATCTGGCCCAAATTAATCGATAGCTTCAAAGCCTAATGTGCACACTGTCGACAATTTCTAGCAACATACTGATGAATAGTGAATTATGTCACCACTGAAATAGAAACGCTATGATAACGCCTATCTAGCACATGTCTTAACTTTTACATAATACTGAGAGGATAAAAGCCTTAATGTGTCGATAACCAGTGGCTTTTATATTCATGATTACAATTTTGCTGTTGTCACAGTGAATACGCAGTCATTAGCTCCTAACGTGCCGAATATGAATTTATTTTGGATGTAATAAAGTTACCAGTAAAATACCAAAAAACTCGATAATGGGTGATTGATCTGCTCAGAATCCATCATTGGATGAGAGTTAACTGTTCTTCATTAATTTACTTTGTACTCATCGTTCACCATTCAATTGAAATTATGTCTGATAATATTTTGTTCTCTTCTAAGCCTTTTATTAGTCAAAAACGTCACCTTAAACTGTTCTATTCAACAGTTTGAAACGTTAACGTTTGATGCTGAGATCAGAAAGCCAATCAACCTCTTTTTCCGGGTGAAACAATTAAATACTCTTCCAGCTATGATTTCATTAAACATATACTCTTCTGTGAAACAAGTGGTATGCAAATAAAGCTGTGAGTTTTGCTGTGGTATCATTTATTGAAAGAATTTCAAAAATTAATTGTCATAAAATCAATATTTAGCATTCATATTTTGACAAATATATTAGCACAATAAATAAAATACGGATGAAAAATTAGATGTGTTTTAGCGTAGTTAACAGATGATAAATTCATTTAAGGAAATCTGAGATAATCAGCGCTGCCTACAAAAAATAAAACAACAGCTATGGTTTGAGAACTATTTACTTTCTGATCAGCTTGTTAACCTGTTGTGTTATTAAAAATAAATCTAACAATTCAACCAGTACAATTTTAGATGCTGTCAATGGGAATTATGATTCATAGTTGTTTTAGTGATGCGGTTAATGATTTGAAATGTATGTTGGCAGTGATTTATTGAAAAGAAAGATTATGGCATAACTGACAGTCGTTTCGCAAATAAGTAAGATAGCAATCTGTGCGTACTTACAAAACCTACAGCAGTGTTCCGAAAGTCACCCACCAGTGCAATCCAAAAAATTCTGAAATGTGGTACGATAATTGTTGTAAATTGTGCCTCTTGTGAAAACATAAACGGAAGGTGTTAGTACGACTAAAAATAATGAGGTGAACCAGGACAATGTGTTTGCCAATGCAAGTGCTGAACTCTGGGCACAGTAGAAGAACCAAATTTCACATGAGATAAGTTCATTTTATTAATAATCACACAGTGATGCAGTGGTAGCAACTGGATGACGTTTCCAGCATAAATTATTGCTCATAATCATTTCAATTTAATCACATGTCTTTACATTTTGTCTAATATATAGCTTCTTTCTCTCCATCTATCCAATTTCCTTATGTTGTTTTTGCCACTTCCCATATCTCCGGTATAGGCGTTGTGTCATTCCGATTGCAAGGGCGCAGTGTTTATTCGATAAGTAAAGCTTAACTACAATTGTAAAATGTAATATGTGCAGGTTGAGTAAGATACTGGTCGCTGCATCTTTTTCATCGAATCTACATCTAACAATATGCAATATGATAGACGAAATGCTAATACCAGAAATGTGGAAATATCATTACCAATTACACCAAAAAGTATGAAACAAGGAAATTTTGCAAACAAAGTTTGAAAGTTATTTTAATTATTGCCTTGATACGATTATGAACATTTTATTGTGTTCGAATTGTTGTGAATGTATAATACTGCATCACTGGATGCTTCTATCAGATAAATTTATTCTGTGATGTAAAATTACATGTACTTCAGACTTCCAGGTATTAACGAAAAAGGAGTGGTGTGATGGACGAATTTCCTGTCTTAATTTCATTTGACCCCACTCTATGCCCACTTGTTGTACTGTATTTTATCTCGCTTCCTAATATTACTGGTTGTGTAATTTATTTTACACTGATTATTGCAAGTCACTTAGTAACCCTTATTTAAAATTAAATCCAGCTTCATTATGAAATCAACTGTCATGCGAATCAGACGTGTTTACTAATTTCAGTGTTTACTTAATATTAGACTTTGAATCTCGTCATTAATAAACGAAATATTAGTTGAATTCACATATAGAGTAAAAAGTCTTTATTGTATTAACTAACAATTACTGAAAAACACTGAATAATTTTAGAGTACACAGTTCTAAATCGTCGAGACTGTAAGTCTAACTCAGCCTAATGAATAAGTGGAGAGTAGTGAAGTAAACAAAATAAGCCCTAACATTACAATCTTCATCGCCTGAAAATGTTTACATTATTTCACTACTTATTGTAATTAGCGTTGAACAAAGTCCATTATTCAAAAAAAAACAATAACAATAAATCTACTTTTCATAAGTGATTGAAATTATATCTTTTGTAAACATTGAGATGTTAGCTCAAACGATTTGGCTATTCGTGTGCTTCACAGTTTAGTGTAAATAAGTAGTCAGTAGGAATCAACGATTGCCACAATGACAAAAGGAATCATACGTATATCCTGTGTTTGATATTTTTCGCTAAATTTGAAATTTTTCTAGATGTTCAACTACGCAAATATGAATCATTTCACGTTCTGTCTTCAGTCTTAAGATTTCTAGATTAAATCTCTTTAAAAACAAAATACTCATATCCTCAACTACTCTCTCCCTTTATCACTGACTATTTCGAAGTGTTCCCTTTAGTATGTAATGCTTTTCATGGAAGCTCGTGCTAGTCACCTGATAACTTAATCACCTATTACAGCAAATCCATTGGTGATTGACGAAAATCGTAGTTTGGGAAGAAAAATATAATCTTATTTACAGCATTCGCGAATCAAATTCAATTTAAAGACAACTTTGTGACTATGGTCATCAATCACGACCTTTACAAACCTCTCTCCCTTTACAGAGCTCTCTTCCTTCATAACAGCATGAAGGAATAATAGTGACCCTTGAGAATTTTATGGATTATCGACTCACTGTAAATATTCTGCGATACGTCTTTTGACACACATTTCATCTGATAAGAAACGTGTACGGAGTGAATCCGCTAACTTATTGTGAAATATTTAGTGAACAGCTCACTTCATTCTTGAATTCAGTAACATAGTGTTTTTATCATATATATTTAATTGAAGTTATACTTCAATATTTTGAAGAATACTGAAGTTATTCACTGTGAAAGTAGGAATAATAGTGGGTTTCACAGCACAAAGAAAATGTCTATCTGACTAATTATCGATTAGACGAAAATGGCGATTACTCTGAAAAATGCAGTTGAAGGTATTACAGGATCTCCAAAGATTGGAGCAGAAACTGTTCAGTATAGAGTTCATTGTAAATCCAGTAGGAAATAAACACACTGACGACTCGAAACACAGCCATCCAGTAAACGTACACCATGAAAGAAACTATCACACGAATAAGGTAATGTAACTTCATCATTTTTTGACTTTTTTTCAATATTCCATTGTTTTATGAATTAGCCACCTGGTTGATAGTAGAAAAATATTTTCAGTCGTGATTTAAATTATTAAATAAACATGCATTAGACAACTTGATTTAACTTCTGAATATAAACAAGTTCGATATGCACTGATGTTTTTATTACCAGTTAATAAACACTTCAGCATAAATGTAAACGAAGTTTGAGACAAAGTTCAGAGAATTAGGTGAATATATACTCACATATAAGTTGAGCAATGATGTAAGTCCATTTCATAGCGTCTGGTGTAAGATGATTGTTATTTTAGAGGTAAGCACTTCAGTTCTTATGATTTGTAGTTACTATCACTTTCTTGTCATCAATGGCTGCATTCTTCGTTTAATCTTAGGCATTCTTATTTCATGATTTCATGGTTTATGAAGTTTAATGTTTGTTATGAATATTGAGCAGTCATCACAACATCAGAGAATCTGTTTTCTTCATGTACTTTTTATCTTTTTAGGTATTTCATTGACATAACATTTACCACATTATGTCAAAATAAAGTGGAACACATCCGGAGGTGAACATAGAGCCGAAAAACTCTACATACCGCAACATGACTTATATAAGGATAGTGTATGCACATCTTATTGCTGATTGCAATTCCGAACATCGTGCATATGTGGGGACAGGTTTTTACAGAAACTGTTTTGGTGAATGGAAACTTTGAATTCACACGCTGAGGGCTGTCATGTTTCCACGTGTTTACCGAAAGTTATTTCAGGCCTAATTTTTGTCTCTGAGATATTTCAATCTTATTTGTGGTTTTTTGATATCGACTCCAACTTTTGAATATTTGAAGATATGAAATTGTCACAGGATTAACATATTCATCGATGGCATCGCTCATTTATGTAGGCAATGTTTATGCATTAAATCATTCATGCTGAGAAATAAGGACATAGTGGTTTTATCTAAAATCAACAGTCACCAAATGTGTAACAACCATGGGCAACGCTTCAAAATAGCTTTCTTGATTTTGTTTAGAATCAGTTACCTATGAACGATATCAGAATTTTTACTAACATGAAATAAATATTTTTTCTTCAGGCGAACGAAAGTTTTGGTGCTCAATGGACGGCTTATGCAGCAATCACTTGTCTGTAAGTCTCCCTTCCCGCAATCTTTGAGATTCACAATATTAACTGTAAATGACCTAAAATACCTTCACATCACATCGTGATTATAACCTCAAAACTCAAATCTTGAAATGATAGGGTGCGTGGGTGGCCCAAGGGTTAAGATTGCCGTCGACCATGCACATGGTCCGAAGTTAGACCCCTACCAACGCACACCCGATATCAATGGTCGGCCTGTGAAGTTGGGCTACCGATATCACACGCTGAAAATTTCATAATTGCAGCGAAAAAACGGTGTGGAATCAAGCTATAATCAAAATAAATTATAGAGCAAATAATCAGACAAACTATTGACTACTACAGATTTGAAGTATTTTCTTGTTTACGTAGACACTGTCTTAATCGGATGAGTGCCATCGTCAAGGTCTACCGGCGATGATACAACATTATGCCCATCTATTTGCTATGAATATTGGTTTGATTAAAGTTATGCAAAAGAACTAATATTTGAATTTAAGTACATGTGAATAAATATTCAGTAATTCATCAGTTGTACCTGCGTTGAGATTCTAGTTGAGTGAAGACTATTCAGATTACCGGACTCCGTACAATATTGTTAATAACAAGAAAAACAAGCAGAAAGAGTACAAACATGATCGAAAATTCTTTTCCCCAGGCAAATATTAGGCTTTTGTTTCTAAAATGGTATTAGTAGGCAAGCAATGAATACTTTGAAACGAAAAGGATTTGTTGAAACTTGGCCAACTGATAACTTGCGAAACCTAACAAAATGAACCTTTTTGGAATATTCGAACAGTATAGCGTAACTGAGTTTATCTGATCTCAAATAATGTATCGGGTCAATAAACGTATAACCAGTGTTGTAGTTTTGATATCATATGAGTGACTATATACAAGGAATGATTCCTCAACTGTTCCAAATATGTGGAAACTCCTGCTTCTCTTAACAGCAAATTATTTGCATGGATAAAAGTATGAACTAGCAAGGAATGATGGATGTAGGGCTATTGAATGTTTTTACATAGAAAACTCCTTTCATCTTCCGGAATTTATTACAGCTGTTTTGCATTTGTATTTTAGAGTATGGACTGTGATCCTGTGTGTATTTCTATTCTTAGTATTTAAGAATAATTTGAGAATTTCATTGATCCTGATAGGAATTATAGTAAGTTCCTCAGAGATTCACGTTTATGAATAAGCTTCGTTTCCTCGAGATAATTTTGTTTCTATTGTTTATATTCACTCAAAAATGGATTATATTTTAGGAAGCAACAAAGGATAATAAAGCAGAATTTATTAAATTCACCAAATTTTATTGGAACAGAAAACTCAGTTATATTGATAATAATATCAATGACAATAATATGAATAGTAAAACGACTTAAGATACCACTACTGATAAAGGATGGTTTCAAATGAATGACGGATAATAATGAGGTAGAATAAATTAATAGCAATAATAACAACAGGCAATAAGCAAGGTGAATTGACGTAGTGGATTCATAGTGATCGCGATTTCTTTCTGTACACAGAGACTAAGTTTACGAACCACAGTTTCACACTCCTCCACACTCGTACTTATTTAACTTTGTTAAATGACAGAAGTGAAGCACTTGATAGAGTTAGTATCATGTCTTCAGTTTACAAAATTCTTTATTATTTGACATTTAGATACACTGTCACTCTACCAAAAGCTGCATTATGCGAACAGGTAATCACCACCTCATACGACCTACTTATGTGTTTTCACAAACACACACAAGTACGTATACACATTTCAAAGTGTTTAAGATTGGCAATAGCTCTTTTCCAGGTTCTTGAAGCAGTCACTTGGTGCAGTCAATGTACACGAGTTTTGCAGCACAACTAATTCTACTTGTAGATCAAGTCTTTTTTTGACTTTATCTTGTACGTAAAACCCTGTAAATTGTAGAGTGATATTTGTGGCTTTCTTCAAAACTGTCGGATAGATGTAAGTTTCCGCACCTTAGATGTTAACAACTTTTTGGAATAATATGATCACCGAGTCAGATTGATTCATTATAAATTATTTAAATGAATCCCAGCGTGTTTTAGATGGCTGTACTGTGGCATATTTCTGTAGAAGATTTATCTATGAACCACTCTCGATATCCTAATCGTGAATGAGATATCCATCGCAGTCTTTGTTTCACATTCAACTGTACTGTTAAGACACATTTTGTATGCTCTGTTCTGAACAATAACTTCTTATATAGTTTTCGTATTATTCTTCACGTGTTTAGCTGTGAAGTTAACATTCGGATGATAAGAGATTAAATCTCCTAATAAGTGTTTTGATTTTGATTTGCTTTCACAAACAACAACAGCACCGACCATATACCTCATATAAAATACCGTTTGTCGAATATGATGTGGCAAAATATCGCCTCACAGGAACTTAGTGATCCACCGAAATTGAGGTTAAGGTTTGTTATTCACTCCAGTATGAGTAACTTTTTGGTTTATTATATGTTCTCGACTTAAAAAACCTCTGAAACCAACATGCACGAATCTTTGACGTCGAACTATATCGCAAGTTTACCTTATTTTTTAAGCAAAGCTTCACTGAATTAAAGAAAATTACGAAACTTGTTCAGCGGATGAGTATAAAATCATGATTGACTGCAAATTAATTGAGGTGAAATTATCTATCTATATGTCAACGAATCTGTTCTTGAGCCCTTATGTGCACAGATCGATGTGTCCTCCCTGTGTACGTGTCAATGTATTTCGATAAGTGTAGCGGGATTCACCGTTTGAGATCTGACACTTTCACGGTTTAGAGTACAACAGAAATTGCGTTTTCTCATCTAAACCGCAAAATGCAACGAGAAACAGAAACATTGTACACCTTTTCTTTAGGTACATGCAAGATACTGCGGATTCATGAATCCGTCCACAGTTGTAGTTATACAACGTTGATCCCACTCAATAAACGCGAAACCAACATTCACTTTTCTATGAGGATTTTTCACATCACTAAAAGTTACACTGCAAGGACATTTTAACTGAAATTCGCTGTAATTTTATATGAAACTTCTATGTTTATGTCAATTTTGTGAAAAAAATGTTAAAACTTACCATCTCAGATGATCACAATGTCTAATTTCTTTTGCCAACAGATTGCATTATTGTCTGCAGCTATCTGTTTTATGTATTGCCAAGGGCCTGATATTAAGTGTTACTTTTTATTGGGCTTCGTTATTGTGGAAGATTTGTTAACAATTATCGCCTGCATCTATGTCAAAAGATTCAAACTAGTGGTGATAATAGTTCTGATATCTTTGTCGATGGCTTTTCTGATAACTGGAGCAGTTTTATTTTTGTTAGATATGAGTCAGGTAATTGCATTGAAATATCAAATTATCCTTTTTATTCTAAGGTTTTAACATAACTAGAACTGTCAACTAAATATTACTATTACTAACACGAAATTGCAGGCTTAGACCTGTCTCTGTATTCTTGAGGAAAAACTAGGGGAATTTATGCAGCATTTCAAGTGGTGCAGTACATTCGCCCATCTGAGAAACAGTATCGCACTTATTTGATATTTAAATTAAAAATTACTATGTAATTCTACGATAATGACGAAACATCCTACTACACAGTGGTAAGAAATGGTAAACTTAAATTCTTGTGAAAAGATGTATTTCCGTGATCTCTAATTTATCTCACTGATTCATTGAAATTTTCAGAAAGCTGCATTGTTGTACATACATATTTTGCAGTTTTGTTTCATAGAACAACAATCAGTTTTATAATCAGGTTACTAATGCAAGAATTGTGCATTTGATCTGCTGTAATCCTTGATCAACATTCTGATCATAATTTATCTGAACTTGATATGATTATGAGTAATATTTTGTGCTCGAAACCTCATCAGTTAATATTACTGCATAAGGCTGTGAAATTTTTCAAAATAAAATCTTATCTATAATGGAGTTATACTTCACCACAGTGTCAAAGTTTCACACTTATATCAATTTATTTGAACTTGTTTCAGCTGAAGTATTTTGAATTGATTGGCGGCTTTTGGAACACTACCGTAGCTATAGTAAGTTCACAGTTTTACTTTGGAATTTAGAAATATCTTTATGTTTCAGCTGTGGCGTTTGGTTTTGTAACAGAGGCGAAGTCTACCTTGACAAGCCTTTCGAGTGTGGTCGAGGTTAATAAAAAATTCCAAATCACATTCTCTGTAGATCTCTGTGTTGATTTTATTCATTAGTGTAAATCAGGAGTTTATATTCAGTCAACAGACTGGCATATACTCGATTGAAACTCAGAAAAATGTTGTTCTATTGGTTACTGTTTTTCTTTCAGTTGGCTCTAGTTTTTGCCAGCTCATTGAAATAACATGAATAACGCATCGGTTTATCGATCATATTGTGACAAGGGATATTCACTTGTGCTTGCGTACACATTTTATTATGCATGCAACTGTCTGACTATTGACAGTTTACATTTCAAATTTATAGAATAAATTATTATTTCTGCACTAGAACTTTTATTTTGTATTTGCACAACAACTTCTTCTGAATGGTGTTTTTCATGAGTTTGTCTATCACTCATAAAGAGAATTTGAGTGTTTGTTGACTCTTCCTTCAACGTTATGTATTTTGACGATGAAACCGTCTTTTGAATATGTGACTCAGTCAGAAAAAAAGGATGTCGGATTCAGGAAGAGAGAGGGACTCTTTAAAGAAATCATCACACATGGAAATACTAAACGAAATTTGATAATATGAATGGATGCTTCTAGAATCCAGTGAAGGAAGCTATTAGTTGATTGTCTGCTATTCGCTGTATCAGGTTGTACAGTGGTGTGGTCTTGACGAAGAATCATCACCTTATGTCGCTTGGTCTTACGTTGTCAGCATAATTGTCTATGTGACCTCTATCATCACCTCCCTTATAGTCTACAATGATATTTAATCACATAAATTGGTTATCAAAGAAAATAAGGAAATTGTTGACTTAGTTCATTGCGTAAATATGATCTGTTTGTATGCTGTTGAGTCAACAACTTTCACCTATAGTGAGATTTTGCTTGTAGAAATACCCTGCATATCCTATTTTACGTAAAGGAAATTCAACTACAACAGTAATTAAAGCAATCAGTAATGTTAGTAGCTTCGTCATGAACAATATGCTTACACCCAAAGATGAATTACCAACGTTTTCCACAGTAAATTCTTCCTTCATTTACTCTGATAAATCCATAACAGCAAGTTGGGAATCAAGAAGAGATGGAGGTGAGTAATGGCAACTAATCAGGGATCTAATTAAAATTAAAATAAAACACTGCGAAACTTGGTGAATTTCAAGCAATTTTATTAATGCAAAACAAGGAAGGTCAGGGGTATTATTAAGCCAATTAGAAGTAGATTCACGAGAGATTTTGTTTTTCATGTATTAGTTATCATGTTGTTAAGTCAAATATGTGTCTCTGTTACCAAAGTAATTTATTAAAGTAAGGCAGATAGTGACAAATCATAATTTGATGCAAATTCTTGTTCTTTTTCAAACTGTGGTAAAATGACCGTTGAAACATTAGAGAGATGTAGCTTTTTCCAACGAAGATATGTGTGAACTAGGTGTTCACAGGAACATGTTGGAATACTAGTTTTTATGGGGAACTATAACAAAAGAAGTGAATGAGGTGTGTTTAGTGAATCACTGCTATTCTCGAAGCATGAACATTAGGTGAACGATTGACCAAATCATCCTCTCATTTCTGTACAAAACCCATCAAATGTAGGCAGAGGCCTGAATAAGGGGAGATGTTGATCTGCACTGGGCTCATCTCGTCCATACAGGATATCAGGTTGAAATTACCACATAATTCACATTTACATATCATATTGATAACCTATCCATCATTATCACCAACCCATATTGCGAGAGCAATAAGGAGTGTTATGCTGACTTTGTGCTACACAGAAATCATTGTGCTTACGCAAGATTAGTAAAAATAAGGTTGCCACGAAGAGAACTTTCTTTCCAACGAAGTCATCAACTAGGCTGTAGATTCGTGCGTTTGAGTTGTTCGTGCGAGAAATTTCCAGAATTATTTCCGGGAAAAGCTTGAATTAATAAAACTAATAAGTGTAATAAACAGAAGAAATGTGGTGGTACTATTCTGGAAATATTTCAGGTCAAAGGTGAAGTTGATAAAATTACAAATAATCTGGAAGATCGGTTAGGAAAGACACAATAAAATTATAATTACTGGAAAAACTTGTCACTTCTTGTAAGTATGGCTTAATGACATATTATCAACAAAATAGATATGAAGTTCGGATATTTAAAAAATTTTAAAAAGCAGCTTCCATATCTAGTAATGCATAAAAAAATTAAAAACGTGAAAATAACAGACATACACAGGTAGGTTGGACGAGAAAGACAACAGGATAATCATTATTTGTGGGAATTACTTTGCATGATGACCAGAGTAAGGACAATGGTTGGACCTATTTAGTTTGAACATATAGAGCGGCTTGAGTTTTGAGTCTCCAGTAAATCAGATATTCCTTAATGCTTTGATTTCACTTCCAATAATAGATGTGACCGGACAGTGTATGTAAGCCCAAGGACTGTATTTTATGAATAAATCCTGGATTTACTGCATTCTGGAATCTGACACGTGTTTTATATAAATTAAAATTATCTTGTACGTTCAATCACCAATAGTGAAATATGTCACTTAAACTTCAAATTGTGAGACATGTGTAGATAAATGTCTTCAAATGTACAATCACTGTTCGTCAGTTAGTAAACAGAGAATATCTACATCGAGGGCGATCCACTGTCACAAAATTACAGCACGAATGGCATTCAAAGAATAAATGGGTTTGAACGAAGTCTGTTCAACAATGAGTGATCTATAAATGAAGAATACACAGCAGGATAATTACCACATATATTGTATATTAACCGAAATAATCTCCGACAGCAAACCACAGCACCAATGTTTTTACAAGAACCAAAATATATCTTATACTACTCATCAGTGGTAAGTAGTACAAAGCTGAAAAGAAAAGAGTTATAAAGTACAGATAAGAACGGAACATACGACTCGTTTATTAACCTACATATATTCAATATTCTCAAATCCTATTAATTAAGCAACCAACATCATTCCAGGCAATCAATACAAACAGTTCCTATCGGTTATTCTCTGTGAATAAGGAAAAAAATAAGGTCAAATCATTTACACAATGGATATTTTTCTACAGGGTAGATTGGAGTTAGTTAGGAATAATCCACAAAATAATGAACAATCAACCCATATTATCCTGTTATGTTCAAGTGCACAAGGATGAGTTTCTTAAAACCTCTAGGTCAAGTATAGTGACTCAACTACATTCACGCTTTACATATCTTATTACTGATAGCTGTTCACTTAGATCACAACATGATTGGTATAATTTTGATGTAATGCTGTATTTATTAATATAAGGTCGCTGATGAGGAGCGAATGGAAAATAAACAATGTTTCTTCGCTGTCAAGTATAACGTAGTTTATTTGTAACAGACTATAACTTCTACTTGTTGTAATACTGAGTGTTCTCCCCTGCTCATTTGCCACCTTATCGTTTGCGATATTCATGGTAATTACAGTTTCGGAATACATTCTGGTTTGCCCAGCTATTGTTGATTGGTAACTCATTTATGATTGTCACCAAACTTAATTACACGTTCACTAACGAATATGACTCCCACTGCTAGATGAATAAGAATCATTCTGCTTGAATTAAAGTTTCAGATCTGAGTACTGACAATGATTTGTGTTGTTGCGTCTAAATTTCAAAATGTTTCTGCTTTGAATGCATGGTAGATTCGGCATTCGATGTTCGTTATTATTTGAAATGTCCTTATCAGAGTTATAGATTGTATCATATTTCGTTAACAAAAAATTTTCAAATTTCATGTGAATTTCTTTAAACAGTGTAGATTCCCGGGAACATCAGGATTAAATCAGCATGGTGTAGTGAACACGAAAGACAAAAGATTTCGAGAATTACATAGCAATACTCACTTTCTTTCCAAAAAGGTTGAATGCTCCTCTTGAAATTGCGACCTTTCAGCCTAAATCAACATAGTGAAAATTAAATATGTATCTGTTCCATAGAGTGTCTCCAAAATAATCCATCACTTAAGTGAACGAATTCGATATTGAATGAAAACAAACGGATATAAAATTTCTTTAAATTCTTGGAATGATATGCACATACACATAACCGCGTCTGAATCCTAAAGTTCCCGTGCTTCACAAAACCTTTCTCCTGTAAACTAAGTTGATAACCACTTCAGTTTTATGCGATTTTATGCTTTGATTGTTATTCATTTATTCTCCATAAACACTGATAAACATTCACACAAATGTAAACTAACCTAATTTTCAGCTGTTGGACAAATATCAGCGTATCGAAATCGCATATTTAAGTGTTGTAGTGTCACTTCAGTACAGTGTGAATAAGTGAGGTGACACAGTTCTTCAGACAAGTGACAAGATGCAGAAAATCACTGTTAAGAAGTCTTTCACAATGATGTAGCCAATATAAATGAAGCATTTTCATCCAAATGTTTCTTTAAACAATAAACACATATTCGCAGACTATAGTACAATCTTGTGGCAAAACAGATTGTACCTTTTGAATATAGTTTACAGTTTACAATTTATTTAGGATAGTAGGCGATATGCCTGTGTTAATCCTTTCAATTTGTTACACACAGGAAGTCCAATCTCGCCTTGAATGAATCAACGGATGGCGCTGTTCCGGTAGGGAGTTCCAGTGGTTCACAATCCGATGCGAAAAACGGATCTCCAAACGCAGACGATTCGACCGTGGTTTTTGAAGCTTGAGGTGATGTCCTCGCAATTGGTTGGTGCTAGAAGGAAGAAATAAATTAGATAAATTTGCTCCAAAATCATTTCCTAGGATACGGTATGCTAGTATTAGGTCACCCCTAAGTCGTCTGTATGACAGTGGAAATAAACCCAGTCGACTTAACCTCTCCTCAAATGAGATGGTTGAGAACACTTTTATTAGCCTAGTTCCTACTCTTTGCACCCTTTCTAATAAGTCTATTTCGTATTTGAAACACGGGCTCGCTGCCTGGATCCCATATATCAAATGAGGTCTGATATAAGCCGGACATAATATACGAAATATTTCAGCGTCAAAATTTGCAAAAGCTTTGTGTATGGCCCATAATATTCGAAAACCCTTAGTGGCTGCAGCTCTACAGTTTGTTGCTGTTTTCAAGTCATGCTGCACAACCACTCCCAAGTCCTTGTACTCAGTGACCACTGGGAGAGTATTGCCATTCATTGAGTAATTGTGCACGTG